CGGGCTGCTGGGCTGAGGCGGTACTTGGCCCTGGTTGCTGTTCTGCACCTGACATTCGCTCCTTTTGGTGCCTTGCTTTTCCTGCTTCTCTAAGCTGCCAGGACAGAGTTGAGGGCAGTTTGGGGTGAAGCTGTCTTCAGCATCCTCCAGCTTCTGTGCTGTGTGTTCGGATTCGTTCTGGGGTGGCTGGCGTAGTCTTCCGGGCTGCTGGGCTGAGGCGGTACTTGGCCCTGGTTGCTGTTCTGCACCTGACATTCGCTCCTTTTGGTGCCCCTCTGGCCGCTCTCAGATCGCGGGCGAAGGGCAGAAATCTCTGCTTGTCCCAGAGCAGCTGCTCACCCTGCCGGCTCCCTGACTCCTCTGCTCCGGGCTCCACGGCTCGCCGGCGCAGGTGCAGGGAGCTGCCGGAGCTCGGGCGCTGGGTGCTGGGGCCGCCCCGCCTGCGCACGGCGCACGGCGCTGCCGGATTCGGCGGGTTTCTCGTCTCCCGCGTGCTAGCTGGCTCGCTCCCGCCCTCCCTCCGCCCCAAGCACTCTGCTGCCTCAGCCGTGCAGGCTCCGCACTGCAGATGCCCACCGGCCTCCCTGCGCTCGGTGGCTCCCGCGGTGCCCCGTAGGTCCCCTGGACCCAGAGCTCCGACTGCACACTCTCGCTGCTCTCAAGGGCCGCTCAGAGGCGCCGACGCACCGAGCTCCGCGAGCATAGCCGCAACCCGGCTGGGCAGCTGGGACGAGGCGGACGTGGCCGCGCCGGAGCCCGGGCGCTCTCGCATGCGGCAGGACAAGCTAACCGGCTCCCTGAGGCGCGGGGGGAGATGCCTGAAGCGGCAGGGCGGCGTGGGCACCATCCTGAGCAATGTGCTCAAGAAGCGCAGCTGCATTTCTCGGACCGCGCCGCGGCTGCTCTGCACCCTGGAGCCGGGTGAGGACCCGGGGCTGCCGGTGGTGCTGGAAAGTAGCAGGGCACCTAGGGGCTGGCGCTGCTCGCGCCTTTGCCTCCTGGGCTCCGCCTAGACCAGGGAACTCCTGCCACGCTGCCCAGTGAGGGGCACCGCGCCTCGGCACCCGCGGGGCTCAGCAGCTTGGCAGGGCAGAGCGCGGACCAGGGCCTGGGCCGGGCAGCGGCCTCTCGGGGCATGAACTGGCCGCTGCTGCCTGCTCTCCGCGGACCAGCACCCCGCAGCCTATGCCCTCAGTCTTCTCCGGGAGGTGGAGAAGTGCGGGCCGCTGCTTTGGCGATCGGAGGCCGCGTCACCCATTGTGCTCCATGCTCGCTGGAAGCCAGGGCGGAGAAAGGCACAGGTTTGACTTGAAAGGTCGGAGGGGAAAGCTGTGACTGCGAAGGAAAAATCAATGTGTATTCCTGGCAGTCCCTTTGGTGTGAATCCCGGGGTCGGTCAGCCCGCCGGGAGCCTCTGATTTGTGTGACCCAGTGGGGAGCAGGCGGGAGCGCCTTTCCCTAGGTAAGATCCGGAGCGCGCCCAGCTGTGCTAGGCTAGGCCCTCCCTGCTCTCAGCCTGTGTTTACGCGTCCCTGCTTCTCCAGGCTGCACAACTCCGCGTCAGTTCCAGCATCCGTCTCCTGGGTTTGAAGAGCCCAGCCCAGGCACCCGGGTGTGGAGCCTCTGCAAAGGGTAGCCTCGGAGGGAGTCGGCTGTTCTGGTGCTCAGCTGTCCCTGCAGTGGTACTAGCTGGGCTCGGGGAGGGTTCGCTGTCCCCTGAGTCCCTAAGGTGGAACGCGTCGCTGCCTTTCTGAACCTCGTGGTTTCTTTGTTTTTCTCCCCGAGGAAGTGTCTAGTTGCAGAGACTATAGTATTTATTCTCCGTCTTCCGTTACTTTTTTTTTTTTTAAATTAAATCTCCTTCCCTCATTAAAAGTAAGTGTTTTGTGTTTCTGAATCCGAACAGATGAAACATAAACCTTCTCCCCTTTCTTATTCAGTTAGAAGAAAGGGGAGTGAAAAATGACCTGATTTAAGCTTTTGTATGCAGGAGGCAAATGATAATTTCAGTTAAATCCTCTGACTCATTTTTGATCATGAGAAAATAGTTGTGGTTTTGGCTAACTATCCTGTCGGGTTTCAGCATGGGAAGACAAGCGGCATGATGCCCAGCAGGTGCTCAGAAAAAGGTAGAAGGAGCTTGTTTGGTCATATATGCAGGGAATCCGGGCTTTTAAGCGGCAGGAATAAGTCCGCTTGAGACTGAGTTTCCTGGTCTTTGTTACAATAAAGCAAACGTCATGACTATACGCTCCTCCATTCAGCACCCGGCGTCTGGACAGCAACCTCGCAACTAAGTCTATTTTATTTGCCTTAGATATTGTCCTGGAGGTGGGGGCACTCCTGTGGCCATTGTATCTGGGTAGGACCTCATTTAAACCATCTCAGAGAGATGAGCATCCGCGGGGGTACTTCCTGTTCCTTCAGAGAAGAGAATCTTGTTTATCCAGTATGAGTATGATTTCCACCCTGAAGTTTTGATAGGAAATGTCAAGGCATTGACTTGATGTTTGGGATTCTCTACCACAGCTGGAATTTATTATAGAAATTTAGGACCCACGTTATGTATTCACATCCTTCTCCGGGCTCCAGGATGAGCACCTGCATACTGTCATGAGCTTTGGCAAATCAGATACATGTCTCTCCAACTTTTGGACTCCATAACCCATCTTTAAAGTAGTCTGGGAGGGACCAGCAGTTAGCGTAATGCTATGTCGCTGGACTTCCATGTAGTCGACTGCGGTTCGAGTTTTGAACCTGGCGGCTTAAACTCACGCCGGGCTCGTGTGCATTCATATCCTAGATCCCGAGAGGCGAGTGGAGGAGAAGGGATTGCGGGGTGGCCGCCCCCCTGGAGGGCGATTTCGCACTTTCTGTCTCTCTGTCTCTCTGGCAAGCACACGTGCCCTATACCAAAAACCTCTCAAAAAAAAAAAAAGTAGTAGCCTGTTGGGGCCAGCAGATAGGGTAATGGTTACATTGCTGGACTCCCACGTAGTTGACCATGGGGGATGAGGGGGTGATTTCTCACGTTCTGTCTCTGTCTATCTCTATCTCTCTGGCAAGTGCTCGTGCCCTCTTTAAAAAAAAAAAGTAAAAATCTGCTGAGGCCAGCAGGTGGCATGGTGGTGAAGGTGCTGGACTCCCACATGACTGACTATGGTTTGGACTTGGCACATGTGCCCTATACCAAATTAATAATAATAACTAAAATTAAATAATTTTTTTTAAAGGTAGTAGTCTAATTTCTTCTTCTTCTTATCATCATTATTTTATAAATTATGAACATTGCTTCTATCCAACCCCTAGCTATGGGAGGTTATAGACAGGTTGTAAGCATGCCTAATATGCATCTTAGAAACAAAAATATCACCTTTGCTATTTATAAAACTGAATGTTATTGATAAAGTCTGGTAGTTTTCATTTTTGAACTTTTAAGTAATAAGTCTCTTTAAAAGTGACTTAGAATGTCATTTTATTGATTTTAAAATTGTAGAAAAAATATATAGCATTTTCAGATTTGATTATATTATTTTTTACATAATTTACATGGGAATAAAAATTGTCATGTAATTTCACCTCAGTAACAGCACATAACTTTAATATGGATTTCTGAGTAGAAGTTCAATATAAGTATTAAACAAATAACCTTCATATAATATTTTCTCATCTATTTATTTCTAGTCTACAAAGTTGAGATTTGAGTCAAAGAAGTTTATCTAAAATTATAGGTTACTTGTACTTAGAGTTCAGTTTTATTTCTAGCTTTTAGTATATAATTGTTTTTATCTTTAATGAATAAGTATATCAAGACAGAATAAAAAATATATAAAAATCTATGTATGGAATTGTAATGGATCATTCTATAAGAAGGGAAATAATAATATTATTTTATAGCCTTTGGTACTCCACTGAAGTTTCCTTAATAGTCTTAGTACCAGAACTAGCAGATGGCATAATGTTTATATCGCTGGACTCTCATGTAGCTGACTGTGGTTTGAATACCAGACCCGGTGACTTAAAACTCATGCTGGGTGTGTGGGTGTGTGCCTGCCCAAGATCCTGAAAGAATAATGGAGGAGAAGGGATTGCGGTGTGGTCATCCCCTCTGGGAGTAATTACTTGTTTTCTGTCTCTCTGGTGAGCACATGCACTCTACAGCAAAAATCTCTTAAAAAAAGAAACAGAAAAAGAAAAAGAAAGTCTTAGTCCCTGCAAGTGTTATAGGAGAACAGATTTTGTAAGTAGAAAATTCGTTTCCTAAGTTTCACAAATATTAATGAGTTATATTAGGTAACTTACAGTTAATATCACAACAGTCCTCTGAGATAGACGTTATTATCCTCATTTTATAGATGAAGCAATTGTGGCTGAGGCAGGTTAAATAATTCGTTTGAATCTAGAAGCCAAAGCTAACTGAGAGTCTGTGTGACTCTAAGCCTGGGGTGTCATTTTTTTAGTTTTTGTTTTTGCACACTCCAGATTAGCTGTGGAAATTGCCATACTCTGAAATAAGTTCTATTCTATTGCCATAGTGTATATTCCTACTTTAATATTCTGTATATTTACTTTCTTTTAACAAAATTGAGTAAAACTTAGTAAAAATACAGGTTTTAACAATTTTATGGTGATTCAGTAGACTTAAGTTATTCTTTTCTTTTTTTTTTTTAGAGAGGTTTTTGCTATAGGGTGCATGTGCTTGCTAGAGAGACAGAGAAAGATTGAGAGATAAAAAGCAAGAAGTCACCTCCAATCGGGGATGGTCACACCACAATCCCTTCTCCTTCAGTCTCCTCTTGGGATTTTGGGCAAGCACGCACATATGCCTGGCATGAGTTTTAAGTCACCAGGTCCAGGACTCGAACCATGGTTGATTACATGTGAATCCAGCAATGTAACCATTAAGCCATCTGCTCATCCTTATTTTTACTTTCATTTTTGATATGACTTTTTATTTATAGTATCCAAAAATAAAAATTATTTCTGTAATTTTCTTTTAGGAGTTGATACAAAGTTGAAGTTCACTCTTGAACCATCTTTGGGTCAAAATGGTTTTCAGCAGGTAACTATTATTATTATTATTGTTGTTGTTGTTGTTGTTGTTTTCTGCTATAGAGTGCATGCACTTGCCAGAGGAAGACAGCGAGAAAGTGAGAAATCACCTGCCAAGGGAGATGGCCACACCACAGTCCCTTCTCCTTCATTGTCCTCTCAGGATTTGGGGCATATACGCACACACACATGCCTGGTATGATTTTCAAGCTGCCACGTATGGAACTTGAACCACACAATTGGCCATGTGAGATCCAGTGCCTCGACCTCCATGCAAACAGCTGGCACTATTTTTAGTATTCAAAAGACTCTTATGGGTTATGGAGTACCCACAGTGTACTGTGGGACATTGGTCTCAAAGTGGAAATGGTAGCATATAGTTTGATATACATAGGCACATGAGTCAGGTGTTTTTTTTTTTTTTTAATTTCAGCTAGTTTTTTCTATATATAGAGATTTTTGCTATAGGATGCATGTGTTTGCCAGAGGGACAGAGAGACAGAGGCACAGAAAGCAAGAAATCACTCCCCAGGGGGGATGGCCATGCCGCAATCCCTTCTGTTCCATTTTCCTCTCAGGATTAGGAGTGTGCACACACACTAGCCCGATGTGAGTTTCAAGCTGCCTGTCTAGGATTTGAACCATGGTTTCCTACATGGGAGTCCAGCACCTTAAGCACAATGTACCACCACATGCTAGTCCCCAGATAAAGTAATTTTTAAAGCTACAAGTGACCTGAGTTTATATTTGCAATAAAAGTTTTTGCACCATTTTTTTTTTTTTTGTCAGAGGGTATATGTGCTCATCAGAGGGAGAGAGAGTGAGAGAGGAAAAAGGCAAGAAAGCAACCCCCCACCCCCACTGTGGCGAATGATCATACTACAATCCCCTCTTTTCTGTTTCTCCCTCATTTTGGGATGTTGGGGCATGCATGCACACATGCCTGGTGTGTTTCTCAAGCTACCAGGTCTGGGACTCAGACTACAGTGTCAGCCATGTGAGATCCAGCTCAGTAACCATCAGGCTACAGGGTGACCTTGCACTTTCTATTATGGTAAAAGTGTGAAAAAAGTAGAAAAAGCCAATGTCTATTATTCTGAACCACACTGAGCCTTTGTTTTTTGAACCAGAGCTTCCTAACCATTGTGTGCATATTGCAAATGGTATGTTGAGGGTGAATAAGGGGCAGGACTTGTTGCAGTCATTGCCCTCAGAATAATAACTTTTGACTTAAAAAAGCTTTGATGGGACCAGCAGATGGTGGAATGGTTACATCGCTGAACTCCCACATAGTTGACTATGGTTCAAGTCCTGGACCTAGAGGCTTAAAACTCACATCAGGTACATGTACTTGCATGCCCAAGATCCTGAGAGGGGAATGGAGGAGAAGGAATTGCATTGTGGCCATCTCCCTAGGGGGTGATTTCTCACTTATGGTCTTTCCATCTCTCTCTCTCTGGTGACCGTTTGTTCCCAATTGCAAATATCTCTCACTCTCCAAAAAAAAAAACAAACACACCACCAAAAAAAAAAAAAAAAAAAAAAAAAAAAAAAAAGAAAGAAAGAAAGAAAGAAAGAAAGCTTGGACTGGAAGGAACACCCTGGCATTTTTATCTTTATCTATGGATGTCAAAATGGAAAGAGGTTAAAACGTTCTTATCCAGTTAATATTACCATTTCCCTGAAATTTCTTCTTTGTTCATAGTGGTATGACGCCCTCAAGGCAGTTGCCAGACTGTCAACAGGAATACCAAAGGAATGGAGGAGAAAGGTAAGGATTCATAGGACTTGAATACAAAAGGAGCTGCTGTCCTTCTTTGAAGCCGCAGGAATGTCAAAAAGCATATTCTAGATTTGGTCATTTGAAACCTATTTCTTCACGATTCATTCGTTCATGCAGTAAGCAATATTATTTGTTCTGTGCTAGATGCCATTCTAGGTGTTGGGGATACAGCAATGAGAAAAAACAAAACCAAAACAGATCAGTTTTTGTCTTCATGGAGCTTACAACAGTTAAATATAAAGTGTGTCAGATGGTGATAAGTGCTGTGGATAAAAATAAAGCAGAGAAAGAAATAAGGAGAGTGTGGGAGAATGGGGGTACGGAGGTGGAATTTTAAATAGCAAGGTGACATTTGAGTGGGGTCCTTGAAGGAGGTGGGAAGTCAGCCAGGCAGCTACCTGCAGGAAGCCACTCCAGAGACAGCAGTCAGCCAATGCAAACACCCTCAGGTGGGAGCATCTTGGGTTACTCAAGCAAAAGCAATAGGCCAGGGGAGCACCGCGTACAAAGAGAAAACTGATAAAGAGAGGACAGTAGAGGTAATGTGGTGAGTCCGGGGGCAGATCATGTAGGGCCTTGTAGGCTATGGTGATGCTTGGGGTCTTGCTCAGTGTGAGGTGGAAAGTTTTGAGCAGGGTAGTGACATAATCTGACTTATATTTCAAATGGATTTCTCAGGCTGTTGACTTGAGAATGTCAGAGACAAGGGCAGAAGCAGGGAGACCAGTAGAAGACTTGCAATTCGGGCATGAGATGGATCAGAGTTGTGGTAGTGGAGGCGGAGAGAATGGGTCAGATTCTAGTATATTTTGAAGGCTGACATGATTTGAATTCCTATTGGATTAGATATAAGGTATAAAAGAGCTGTCAAGAACAACTTCAAGATTTTGGCCCAATGACTGGAAGGGTAAAATTACTATTCGCTCAGATGGAGGAGCAGGTGTGTGTGTGCGTATGTGTATGCATAGTTGGAGTAGTAGCATATTAGATGTCTGGTTTTGGATCTGTTAAGAGTGAGATGCCTCTTAGATATTTAACTTGAAGGTATCAAGTGAGTATTTAATCATATGATTCTGATCCTTAGGAGAGAAGTCTGACTGGAGATGTTAATCAATGCTATTTCTGCTAAGTTATGTTGAAGCACCAAAGCTTGAAATGTGCTTTTAGATATTGATTTGTAAATTTATAGTTCATCTTTTTTTTTTTTTTTTGGAGAGATTTTTGCTATAGGGCATGTGCACTCACTGAGAGAAAGAGAGAGACAGAAAGTGAAAAAATCACCCGCTAGGGAGAATGGCCATGCTGCAATCCCTTCTCCTCCATTCTCTTGGGATTTTGGGCACATGTGCGTGTTTGCAGCTACTGGGTCCGGGACTTGAACCACGGTAGGCTGTGTGGGAGTTCAGCGACACAACTCCTATGCCATCTCTTGGTCCCAAACTTAGCCTTAATACTCCTGGAATTTGAACACTGAGGGTTTCTCAAAATATATAGTAAATGATATTATGTCATACATCTTTCACAAACAGGTTTTCTGGGTAAGATAATCAAAGGCATACACAACTAGTGACCCTTTTAAAAGCATTATTTATTAGAGGAACCCATTTGTCAGTTTTATTGTGTGTGTACGAGAGAGACATGAGTTGAAGTCAGAGGCCAGCGCATGGTGAAAAAAGTCCCATCTGTGTTGAATGACCAAGTGGCAGTTCAGAGCCAAGTAAAACAAGCCTATGAGATAATACAGCTACTTCAGAGAACTGAATAAAGGTTGCAATTCTGTTTTCTTAACAGTATCCTAATGCCTGGATTGTTGCTTGAAACATAGTAAACTTTTATTGAAAGAATAAATGAAAGGCAACTGAAATTCTTCTAGAATGAAATGATGTAGTTCAATAGAGCAAACATTTCAATGAGGGCCTTGTAGATTTCTACACGTGAGCTCTAGCTGGTCTAGGAACAGTTTCCATTTTCTTGTTGGATGTAATAATAATTTTTAGATAAAAATAAAATGATGTATTTCGCTTCACCGTCTTCTTTACTTGTGTATTACTATAGGTTTGGCTGACCTTGGCAGATCACTATTTGCACAGTATAGCCATTGACTGGGACAAAACCATGCGTTTTACTTTCAATGAAAGGAGTAATCCTGATGATGACTCGATGGGAATTCAGATAGTCAAGGTAATGCCTGAGCTTGGTCTGTTGTCCTAACGCAGGAGAAAGACTCTTAAGAACCAGATGTTTTCCAGATAGAAGATCCACAATCTCTACGTTATGGTCTGTCACTGTATTTTCTGCCTTCTCATTTCATTAGAGAGTAGCTTCTTCTGCAGAGATCCTTGACTATGCCTTGTCTTCACATGTGCAGTGTTGCCAGTAAGAAGAAAATGCTTGTGAATAAATGCCCATTCATATTCAGTCTATTTGTCTTCCTCCCATGATAGGAGATTGAAATTCACTATATATATATATTTTTTTTTTAACACGGGTCAGTGCTACCAACTGGATTTTTACCTAAAAGTCATTGAGCTATTTAAAGTTAGGTGTTTGTCAGGTTCTAATCATTTGGCTCTTATGAGGGTCTTTAATTTTGTTTTTCACTGTCAATTTATAAAGATAGTTAGGTTGAGAGTGGGTCTACTTTAAACCAGATGGTTAGGAGTTCAAGCCAGCTGTGTGGGCAGCTGTGCGTTGCATACCTGGATGATTGCATTTGATTCGAGTCTGGTGCTAAAAGTCCAGGGTGCTGATTCCGTTTGATCCCAGTATTATCCTCTTACATAAGGCTCTAGCACATGGCTTTTGATTTCATATGAATATATTACAGTGTGATGCTAAGCTGGGGTTTTAAAAAGAAAGTGGTTTCATCCAAATTTTAGCCACCACAAGATGGCTAATGTTTTGGCATATTTGAAGATACTTTTTTCAGGAGTAAGTACTAACTAGAATGAACTGCTTTCTGGTCTAATTTGGTCTACTTCAGACAAATGCTAAAAAGAAATTTATGGAATTTTACATCGTGTACTAAAAGCTTTTTGCATTGTTCACATTTTAGCTGTTTATCTGAAATTTCAGAATATGTTTCACAGCAACGAAGTATTTGAAATATTTTTTTACTATTTAACTTGTGAATTAAGGCAATGCTCATTTTATAACTATCATGTTACTTAGAGGAGCCTTTATTTTCTCATCAAAGTGAATGCTAGGTCAGTAAAATGACTTCAGCTCCTGAAAATAAAGTCTTTGCTTGTAATTAAATTATAGATATTGCCTTCATTAAATGTTAAAGCACAGCAAACATTTATGCCTTCCTACACCAATTTATAAAACAATTTGAATGGAATAATATTACTGTTTTGGACAGAATGATTTTTTTCTGTCTCTATACAATACAGATTGCATATTTTTGCAATTTTAATTTTACTCCTTAGTATTTAGAGTTTTGACTGCTAAATATTATACAATATTTTGAAAAAAGAAATAATATTAGCATCAATCATACTTGTGTTAAAATGATTATCATTCTGAGACCTATTATTAAAATAAACTTTCAATTTATATGAACTTTTTATTAATCCTGAGTTACTTTTTATGCTAATTTTAGAAACGACTTATATAAAATGGTTGCCTAACTGAAATTCCCTTTCAAGTCTCACTTAGCATATTAGAAAACATTAGGGGAACCAGCAGTTAGTGTAATGGCTATGTCACTGGACTCCCACGTAGTCGACCGCGGTTCGCGTCCCAGACCCAGTGGCTTAAAACTCATGCCGGGCTCATGTGCATGCGTGCCCAAGATCCCGAGAGGAGAATGGAGAAGGGATTGTGGTATGACCATCCCCCCTGGGGGGTGATTTCTCGCTTTCTGTCTCTATTTTTCTCTCTCTCTCTCTGTCTGGCGAGCGCACGTGCCCTATAGCGAAAACCTCTCAAAAAAAAAAAAAAAAAGAAAGGAAAACTATGGGACCAGGAGGTTGTGTGGTAGTTAAGGACGCTGGACTCCCATACGGCTGACTGCAGTTCAAGTCCCGGACGTGGTGGCTTGTTTTCTCACTTTCCCTGTCTCTCTCTGCCTGTCCCTCTCTAATTAAATTAAAATAAATAAAAATAAACAACAAGGAGCCAGCAGGTGGCGTGGTGGTTAAGGCAGCTGGACTCTCACATGGCTGACTGTGGGTCAAGTCCTGGACCTGGCAGCTTGCTTTCTCACTTTCCTTCTCTCTCTCTTTCTGGTGAACTTCAAATAATAATAATAATAATAATAATAATGACAATGAATAAGATTAAATAATTATTTAAAAAATAAATAAGAAATAAATTTAAAAAGTTAAATAAAATAATTTTTAAAAAAGAAAACATTAGGAAAAATAAAATGAGAAAAGATTTTTGCCCATATGGATAAATTGCATATACCTTTATTTTTTTTAAGAGAGAGATTTTTGCTAGAGGGTACGTGTACTCGCCAGAGAGATAGAGAGAGACAGAGAGGCAGAAAGTGAGAAATCGCCCCCCCCTGCCCGGGGGGGATGGTCACACCACAGCCCATTCTCCTCCATTCTCCTCTTAGGATTTTGGGCATGCACGCATGTGTGCCCAGCATGAATTTTAAGCTGCTGGGTCTGGGACTTGAACTATGGTTGACCACGTGGGAGTCCAGTGTTGTAACCATTAATCCATTTGTTGGTCCTGCATGTACATTTTAAAAAACTAAATGCTGTGTTGACAATTTGACTCTACTTAATGGTGAGGCAAAAAAATAACTAAAGGTATTATTTTTGTTTTTAGAGGGAATATTACATTTTGTTTTATTAAAAAATAAATGTTGTTTCCCTTCATTTCAGGACCTTCATCGCACGGGCTGCAGTTCTTACTGTGGCCAGGAGGCTGAGCAGGACAGGGTTGTGCTGAAGCGGGTGCTGCTGGCTTATGCCCGATGGAACAAAAATGTTGGGTACTGCCAAGGCTTTAACATCCTGGCTGCGCTAATTCTGGAAGTGATGGAAGGCAATGAAGGAGATGCGCTGAAAGTGAGTATCAGGTCTGACAAAGGCAACTGAAAGTATTCTGAGAATGAGAAATTCGAACTGTAGTTTCTCTTTTCTGATGCCATGCTCATTTCCAAGGTATGTGCTACCCTTCACAATGACCTATGATAGCATGTCCCCCTGGTTACAGCCATGTCTAGTGACAGACTCAGGTAGCTGCCAATTATGATGGGGAGGATTGTATGTTTAGTCTCGGTTCTAAGACATCACATTTTAAAAACTAGCTAAGTATTAATTACCCACTGCTATGTAACAAACTTGCTTCTTAAAACAGTGAACATGGGCGAACCAGCAGTTAGCATAATGGCTATGTCACTGGACTCCCACGTGGTCGATCGCGGTTCGTGTCCCGGACCCGGTGGCTTAAAACTCATGCCGGGCGCGTGTGCGTGTGTGCCCAAGATCCTGAGAGGAGAATGGAGGAGAAGGGATTGCGGCGTGACCATCCTCCCTGAGGGGTGATTTCTGGCTTTCTGTCTCTATGTCTCTCTCTGTCTGCCTGGCGAGCGCGCGTGCCCTATAGTGAAAACCTCTCAAAAAAAAAATACAAAAACAAACAAACAAAGAAAAAAACAGTGAACGTGGATGACCGCAGAGTTTCTTTGGGTGAGAGATCTGGTTGTGACTTAGCTGGCTCAAGTTCACAGCACTGTGACATTCAAAATGTTGGCTGGGATTGTGGTCTCTTCTGAAGGCTCGTGTGATGGGGAGCACTGGCTCCCGAGTTTGTTCACGTGGTAGCTGGCAGAATTGGATTCCTCACAGGCTGTCAGACTGAGGGCTTCAGTTCCTTACTGGTTGTTGGCTGGAGGCCTCTTTTGGTTCCTTCCCACTTGGGTCTCTCTCCATCTTACCACCTCGTGGCTGGCATCCCTCAGAGTGAGCAAGAGAGAAGAGAGCAGGCAGGCAGAAGGGTCTAAGTCACACATTTGTAGCTAATACCAGAAATGATGTTCCATAGTGTTTGCCTATTCTGTTTCTTAGAAGCCAGTCAACAGGTCCAGCTCGTACTCATGGGGGACAGGGTGAGAGGACAGTATACACAAAGGTATGACCACCAGGAGTCAGAGATCTCTGGAGACCTCATTAAAAGCTTTCCACATATCAGTTATGCTTAATTTTCATTGGATTGTCTTACTAGGTTGCTTTATTCATTCACATTTGGGGCAGCTTGTGGAGGAGATGCACTGAGAGTGAGCGTCTGTGGAAGGTATTTATATGGAGAAGAGTTATGGAGTTATATTATTATAATAATATTTTAATTTTTGTTACCTAGGACTTTTATTAGTTAAAAAGAAAAAATCTGGAAGCACTTTGAGATGGGACACTTGCAATTTAAGCTTATAGGTCTGAACTTGAGCCAACAAGTTACCAGAAGTCAGTCTTTATGAGAAATGAACATTTCGGATGTGGAGAATGGCCCCTGCTTTATTTGCTAAGGCTGATGTGGAATTGCTAATTCAGATCTGAACTTTCGCACTGACCTTGATGGCAATGATTTGTGAGGTACAAGATGAGTACTTAGTAGATGAGTACTTAGTTTTTGTGTTTAAGCCCTGCCCCCACACGACATCCCCACGTGTGTGTGTGTGTGCGTGTGTGACTATGGTCAGTACCTTAGAGATATTCCCAATTACTGATGAATGTGACGTTTAAGCCCCGCCCCCACATGACATCCCCACGTGTGCGTGTGTGTGTGTGCGTGTGTGACTATGGTCAGTACCTTAGAGATATTCCCAATTACTGATGAATGTGACGGGAAAAATAAACAAATGTTTCTCCTGGTTTTATTCACATCGTTGTGGACTTCTATAAATCCATGGCATGATCTAAATCTGTATTCACTCTCTCAGTTTTTCCATTCATGTATTTAAGGAAACAGCTTTGAAGCTAACTTGTTCATCAAATAGGCGGGGGAGGAAAGATGGCAGTGACAAATCAAATACATGGCATGAAGACATTTTTATTAATAGGCAATTTTTGTTTACTCCTTCTACCAGCTATAGTCAGTTTTTTCTTCTTTCTTTTTTCCCCCCCTCAAATGTGATCTGTATGCTATAGAATGGGAACCCCCCCCCCCCAAATGTGATCTGTATGCTATAGAATGGGAACTGTTTGAAAAGCTGAAATAAGGGGCCAGCAGGTAGCATTGTGGTTAAGATGCCGAACTTCCATATGACTGACCATTGGTTCGAATCCTGAACCTGGTGGCTTACTTTCTTGCTTTCTCTCACTCGCACATGTACACGCACGGATCCTATAGCAAATTAAAATAAAAATAATAAATAAAATTAAATAAATAATTATTTAAAACAAACAAAGAAAAGTTGAAATAAGTGATTCGGCTTAGGGTCTGGGATGGAGAAGTTTGAGAGAAGGGATGTAGATGCCACTGAAATCATTAGAGGGCTCAGTGATGCTTGAGAAACAAAATATTCACATAAAAAGATGTATTAGGTAAAGCTGAGCAACTGAATATTTGTTTTTCTACCCCTCCCCCCAAGGAAATGAGTCCCATGTGATGAGATGATGTCATCTTTTTTAGGAGTATGTTGCTCTTGGGTTGGAGGTTTGATATGCAGAGGAAGGTTGGGTTCATGAAGAAACACTTCAGATGCTAAGGAAGATTTTGGGGGTCTGTGTTTTTCCAGCAATGGTTTTTGACCTCTGAAAATCATAATTAATAGGAAAACAGTTTATTAGAACCATTTTTCCTGCTTTTCAGCATTTACTGCCTTTTTTTTAGTAACTTTTGTTTTTAATTATTTGTTAACAATTGAAGTACTCTTGTTACTTTTTCTCATCTTTTTTTAAAGATCTGAGATCTGGCTTTTGAAGTACAGTAGTGAACAGAATGAATGAGCTGCTCTTATGTCTTCTTATCAAATTTTTAGATGCCTTTAGATAGAGAAATTTACTCTGCCACAATAATTATTGTAATACTTAGATAATAAATATTTATTTTTTTTCTTGCTTTCATTCTTTTTTTTAGAGAGATTTTTTTGCAATAAGGCATATGCGCTTGCCAGAGAGAGAGACAGACAGAAAGCGAGAAATCACCCCACCATGGGTGATGGCCATGCCATAATTCCTTCTCCTCCATTCTCCTCTTGAGACTGTGGGCACACACGCACATGTGTCCAGCTTGAGTTTTGAGCTGCTGGGTCTGGAACTCAAACCTCAGTAAACTATGTGGGAATCCAGTGATGTAAGATTTATGTTATCTGCTGGTCCCTGTTTTCATAAAATTTTGAGGGACCACACTTTTTAAATAAAAGCATAAGTACATTTCTCAGTACTGTATTTTATCCTTGGATGTAAAGCACAATAATGGACAGACTATTACCTTTAAATTTGCCTTGATGATTCTCTAAATCTCTGTTCTTCTGCTAAGTCTCCACTGGAATACCCTACCCTGCTGGAAATCTCTTCCCCTTCTAGAATATCCTCCCTCTGCCCAGACTGAGTATACTCCTTTCTTGTTGCTAAACTCCTGCTTCCTGGAAAATTCTCTTAACATGAGAAGGCTAAGGCCTTCTGAGCCTTTCTGTTCCTATCACAAAGGTCTCAGAAACCCCTGCTCAAGAGTATGTTCTCACCCCTATTGATTTATTCAAAACTATGACCCTAAACGTGGGAATTATAAACCAAGGTTCAGGAAGAGTAAGTCCTTGGTGAAGTTGGGAGATTTTTGTGGTGATTGTTTTTTGGTGGTGGTGGTGGTAGGGAGGACAATAGAATATCCTGAAAATCAAAATATGACTTTGATTCTCTACCAGCATAGAGTGTCAGCTATGATGTTGTTCTTTTTGCTTTTCTGGTGCTCTGGGAATGAGCTGTCTTTTAGGGAATGGGGCATGTATGGACCATGCAAGCCAATGGGGAAAGGACCAGGGGCTGATAGATAGAACTTGTGTGTGTTTTTCTGGGTCACTCAAGTGACTCTTGACATTTTAGAAAAGATCAAATAAAAAATCAGAATGCAAACAGTAATTTGATAAAAAGCTCAAATCAGCTGCTGTAAGAACCTGGGTTGATGGAAAGCGAACCTCGAGACCTGCGTGGGCGGGGGTCTTTGATGACAGGCCTATTCCTGGTTTTCAGTCTGAGGTTGTAAGACTGCGCTGACAGCACGGAGCCAGTGTCACTGCTCCTGTTGACTGTGGCCGAAGCTCATACCGTGTCATTTCTTTCTTCTTCTTTTTGTACATTTAATCACTGTGTATCATTATAGCAAACCAAATGCAGCATTATTCACAGTTGCTAAGACATGGAACCAACCCAAATGCCCAAGTACTTTGTCATTTCTGAGTGAGACCGAGGGTTGTATAATCACAGTGAGATGTGAGGTGAACTCAGGTCTAGCAGCCTATCTAGACATTTCAGCCAGCAGACTTTGAGTCTGAGTTCCTTAGATAATTATGCCACCTACTCCTTGCCCAGAGTATAGGTGAGCCTGGAAAATCTGGAACATTTGGTACCGACACATTTAAAGGATGATATGCTTTGGCTAACCGTATTTTATCCATTTGAATATGCTCTCTCTCTTCAGGACCTGTTGAGATGTGTTTTTATGAAGCAGTCTTATTCATTATCTTTTTTTTTTTTTAGATTATGATTTACCTTATTGATAAGGTACTTCCTGAGAGCTACTTTGTCAATAATCTCCGGGCTTTATCTGTGGATATGGCTGTCTTCAGAGACCTCTTGAGAATGAAACTCCCTGAGTTATCTCAGCACCTCGATATTCTCCAGAGAACTGCAAACAAAGAAAGTGGAGGTAGCCATGATTCCATGCTGTTATGTCTGAAAAATCTGACTCCTCCAATTCCACTGTATGTATGCATTCAAACCTTGTAGGGAA